CCTCAGCAGCTTCCCAGCCTCTGCTGGACTCTCTCCAGTGGTTCCTTGTCCCTCTGGAACTGGGGAGCCCAGAACTGGCCCCAGGACTCCAGAGGTGGTGTCACTGGGGCAGAGGAGAAGGGCAGGAGAACCTCCCTGACCTGCTGGCCACACTCTTCTTCATGCATCCAGTGCATTGTCAGGAATGTCAGTGATTGACCTTCAGACCAAGGCACCAGCTGAGCTCTGTGAGCAGGACTCCTTTTTCCAGAGGGAAGGGAGGGCTCTTAGGCAGTCTAACAGTCCTGCTGGACTGGAGATGGTGGTTTGGGTCCCAGCTGCAGGAGGGGTGCCCTTGGCATTGTGGTGCACTGCCCAGGAGCTCTGAGAGAACTGTCCCTCCCTAGGCTGAACGACAAGGTGAAGAAGAAGAGTCTGACATCTTTTGAGAGGGACTCCATTCTCAGCAACCTGACAGGCCAGCTGAACTACGAGGGCTTTGAGAAGGCAGACATGGTGATTGAGGCTGTCTTTGAGGACATCAACATCAAGCACAAAGTCCTGAAGGAAGTGGAGGCTGTGAGTATCTGTTCTGAGCAGCCTGTGCTGGATGTGGCCCCTCTTCAGTGGAGATTTGGGGTGTCCTGCCCTGCTGGCTTTGTCACATCTCCTTTGGGCTCCAGTTTGGTGCTTGGATTCATGTCAGTAGGGGGGTGGGTGTCAAGGGCAGGCTCCAAAACTCTTCCATTTCTCTGAACACGTTGATAGGACTGAAACACACCTTGGTACCTCCACAGCTTATGGTCTTTCACTTGCTGCTGCTCTGTCTGTCCAAGAGCACCCTTGGGGCAGTGACTGTGTGGTGGAGGAGCTGCTCTGTGCCCCTGGTTATGTCCCTCCCTGCAGTGGTGGGAGGGCTCTGAGAGGAACACTGCAGAGCTGGGGACAGTTCAAGGACAGTCACATCTGGCTGACCTGGGCAGCTGCTTTATGACACATTTCTCATGGTGTCCACCCTGACAGAAGATGGGGTTTGGCTCCTTTGTCAGGGTTACCATCTCCCAGGGCTCTGGAGGTGGTTCTGGAGCCTGTGGTGCTCACTCCATCTCCTCCACAGGTGATCCCAGCTCACTGCATCTTCGCCAGTAACACATCTGCCCTCCCCATCAGCAAAATTGCTGCTGCCAGCAAGAGGCCAGAGAAGGTGAGTACCCAGGGCCACGTGCTCTGAGGCTGCTCTGGCCGAGCAGCCTGTCAGGGGCAAACTGGTTTTGCTGTGAGTGAGTGCTGGGATCTTCTGCTTCCTCCTCAGAACATGGGACAGATCATGCACAGCCCCCAGTGCAAGCTGTGAGCAAAGAGCCTGTGGTCTTTGGGCAGGTAGGAAGGGGTGAAGGTGAACTTGCCACCAGTGTGAAGTTCATGGAGCATCTCTCCTATGAAGACAGACTGAGAGAGTTGGGGTTATTCAGCCTGCAGAAGAGAAGGCTCTGGGGACACCTTCTTGCAGCCTTCCAGTATTTGAAGAGAAGAAAGCTGGGGAGAGACTTTTACAAGGGCTTGTAGTGATAAGATAGGGGGGAATGGCTTAAACTGGAAGAGGGGAGATTTAGATTAGACATTGAGAACAAGTTCTTGCTCTGAGGGTGGTGAGACCCCAGCCCAGGCTGCCCATGGAAGCTGTGGATGCTCCATCCCTGGAGGTGTTCAAGCCCAGGCTGGATGGGGCTTGGAGCAACCTGGTCTGGTGGGAGGTGTCCCTGCCCATGGCAGGGGGTGGAACTGGATGATCCTGAAGGTCCCTTCCAACCCAACCCATCCTATCATCCCATGCTGGTGGGACAGGGTGCAGCAGGGAGGTGAGAGCACTTCAGGAAGCGTTAGTGCAAGCAGAGGGGCAGAGAAGCCATGGAAGGACAAGGGGAAAGGGCCTCAGGTTGCCCCAGGGGAGGTTTCAGTTGCCCCTGAGGAACAATTTCTTGCCCTGGAGGGTTGCCCAGGGCTGTGCCAGGCTGCCCAGGGCAGTGGTGGAGTCCCCACCCCTGGAGGGGTTCCCAAGCCGTGGAGATGTGGGGTGAGGGACACGGGGCAGTGGGGACCTGGCAGTGCTGGGGGATGGTTGGACTCAAGGATCTGAAAGGTCTCTTCCAGCCAAAGCAGTTCTATGATTTGATGACTCAAGCAGAGAGAATTCCAGCCAGGAAGACTTCATTTTGAGAAGCTGATTAGACAAAGGAGTGACCTGCCATGCTGGGAAAGTGGCTTCTTGAGGAGAGGGTGCCCACCTAGGAGCAAAAAGGGGAGAGAAGCTGGTGTGTGGAAGCTGAACTCGGGGTGCTGAAGCTGAAGCCTTGGTCAGGCAGGGCTCAGCTCCTGAGGGGTGGAGGGGTTTCTCTGGCTCCAGATGATCCGTGTGAGCAGGATACCAAGAGCAACCTAGCAGCTTGTGGCAGAGATTTGAAGCAGAGGACATCTGCATCCCTTTGCTTGAAGTCTCTCCAGAGAAGGGGCCTCCACAGCCCCCCTGGGCAGCCTGTTCCTGGGACCTTCATGAACCTCTCCCTGGTTTGCTCTGAGACCTCGGTGCACCACAAGTGCAAACTGAGTCTGGTTCCTTCAGACCTGCAGATAACATCCCCTTGTTGTATACATTGCCTGTGTAGTGGCTCTTTATGGGGAAACTAAGAGGAAATCAGTTAGCTCATTAGTGTATTTTCTTTAATTAGTTTGCAGTCTGCAACTCCCCTGCAAGGACTTAGATCTCAGTGCCAAGTGTAGCTGCCAGGAGGCATGGAGGTGACACGCTGAGTACGTGGTCCTGGGAAGGAGGCAAGGCACACAGCTGAGTGATCTCCACTTAGAAGGTGTTCCCAGAGGAAGGCTGCACTTCCCTCTCACTAGTTCCTGGATAGTTGCCACCTTGTCCTTAGATTCACTTCATCACCAAAAAATAACCCCACAAAACACAAGCCAAGGACAAGGGCTCTGCTCAGCCTCTGTCACCGTGGCTGCTCTGCTGCTCTCACTGCCCAGAAGAGGTGGATGTGGGGCACGTCCTTGGAGGGCCAAGGAGAGGGGGTGGGAGAGCATTCCATCCAAGAAGGGCCCAGGGGAGTGTGTGGCTGGAGGGCTTGTGCACTGTGCCCATCCTGGCCCCCTGCACATGGGCACTTCACTTGCCCAGCAGATTGCTCTGGGAGCCAAAGCCTGTCTTTGAAACCAATGGCAGCCCCCAGCAGCCTGGGCTGCCCCCCAGCAGCGTGGGCACAGGGCAGGGAGGGGATCCTGCCCCTCTGCCAGCTCTGGGAGACCCCCCTGCAGTGCTGGGGCAGCTCTGGAGTCCTCAGCACAGCAGA